AGAACATAAAATTGTTTTCCTTTGAAAATGTTATATGGCAACTGTCCCAAATAAGATATCTATGCATCCAGGTGGAGAAGGGATTGCTGTGGTGGTTGCTTAAAACACACACACACACACACACACACACACACACACACACACACACACACACACACACACACACATCGTTGCTCATTTGCTTGCTCACTTTCTCTTGCGCACACACTCGCACGCACACACACACCACATCGTTGCTCATTTGCTTGCTCGCTTTCTCTTGCGCATGCTTGTGCAGCACCATGCACTGCTGGGCATCAGTGGCAAAGAGAAGAAAATGATGGAGCACAAAGAAGAGAGGAAGAGGCAAAAAATTGCAATGATAGTGAGATTAACAGGCAGGCGAGTGTGTCCTTCGGGACATCCGTTAAAATTGGAACGATATGAGAAGATTAGCATGGCCCCAGCGCGAGGATGACACGCAGAAATCGAGAAATGGTCCAAATTATATATAAAAATAAATAAATAAATAAAAAACAGGCAGGCGAGTGCAGAATGCCGTGCATTTTCAGCATTTGCATGCCGATCGATGTTCTTTCGACCATTATTGGCAGTATGTGCTAGCGAGTGTGCAGCTTTGTCGTTTGCGCCGCGCTTTATGGTTAATTTGCACTCCCGAGTCCCTACCTTTATTGGTAGATCATGCGTCTTTGCGCGATTCGCCTTGCACCGACCTTAGCAGGTAGTCAGCGACTCTGTCACACAAGAAGTAACCTGGAGTCGATGGTGAAGGATGGATAGAAAAGAGTGCAGCTGTTTCTTCTATATGAAGTCTCAGAAGTCATAGACTGTAAGCTGATCGGATGGATGGATGCATGGACACAGAAGGTAAGGGCCAGTGCAAGAAAAAAAAAAGCATAACCCTGACGTCGGAGACTGGCTTGGCGGTTGTGTGGTTTTAATTGCGCATGTCTGCAGGTGAACGCCGAGGAGTATGATGCCCTGGTCATTCCGGGCGGGCGTGCCCCTGAGTACTTGGCGCTTAACGAAGACGTGCTCTCGATTGTGAGGAGCTTCATGAGCAGCTCCAAGCCGGTTGCTTCAATCTGCCATGGCCAATTAATCCTTGCCGCTGCCGGTGTTCTTGCTGGCCGTAAATGCACAGCCTATCCAGCTTTGGAACCAGTAGTCGTGGCGGCCGGCGGCCAGTGGCTGGGACCAGACCCCATCTCAGCATGTTTCACAGATGGTAATCTGGTTACGGGCGCAGCTTGGCCAGGTCACCCTGAGTTTATAGCCCAGTTGATGAAGCTTCTCGACACGAGGGTCGATTTTGCCTGATCGAAGACTATGTGCAAGATCCTTTTCCTTCCTTTTCTTTTCTTGCACGATCATCATCTTCAAGTTGTTGTTTCTATCTATTGACCCTCGTGTAGGGAATGGTAGGGAGGGAGGTTTATATTGTGGTGTGGCACGCAATCATTCCAATTGGGATTGACATCACCTGGGGGTAACCTCTGGTCACCCAAACCACTGGGAATGGTAGGCGCGCGATTACGCGCGGTCTGTTCCATGGCCCCTCATTATGCAATCTGGAGGCCAGAGAGTCTGCATTGCTCTAGAAGGAGAACAAGACAGACTCACACGACGGCCGCCTGCTGCGGGCTTGGTGATCACCAGCTGAGATAGTTGGCTTGCCGCCCCCCTCCCCCCCTCCTTGGACGGTCTTGGCAGGAGCCTGCCAGGGTTCCCTTCACCCGCGCCCCTGCAATCCCTCGCTGGGGGTTAGAAGCCTAGGTAGTAGGTACTACCCCCCCTGCACAGAGTAGAGTAAATAATAAATAGACATAGCCTGCCTTCCTTTGGTGCATAGACATGGACTTGTTGTCTTAGATATGTCGGTAGATAGTGCAAAGTATGTAGTAGGTAGCGACTGTGAGGTGGAGTGGATTGAGAGATGAAGGAAAAAAAAGACAGAGTCACATGATGGGCCCCACTTCCTGAAAAAAAATATGCTCACTGCTGGAGCCAATCGATTGGAGATAAGCTTGGCACTTTTGTTCGGTATATATCCGCAAATTGGACGGGCGATACATGGCCCCCTCAAGTTGGATTGCATTTAGATTAGAATGATACATGATGTCCCAGGGGGCTACCTAGAGGTAACCCAGGGGGAGTGTACCAAGTGGGAAACCCGTGGAACAAAGCGGTCTACGGCTGTATTTGGGGCAAGTTTCGGTCTACGTGCGTTTTGTTTGGATGAATACAAACTTCGGGTTTGAACATCAGAGTTGAACCCAGTTGCCTGCAGAAAAATTCATGAACCTGTGTGGCTGTATTTGGGGCAAGTTTCGGTCGACGTGCAGAAAGACATGAAAGTGCATTCGTTCACTCGGGGGGGGGGGGGGGAAATTATTTGTGGAACCCGCCCACACTGATTCCGCAGGCAAAAGATGTTGGTCCCACAAATCGATTTTTTTTTTTTCCCGAGTGGACTTACGGGCTCTTCACTACCATCAACTGTCCTTCCGGATAGAGCGAGAATGAACGTGCATTCTATTTGGGTGAAGACGGTAGGGCAGGACGCACGCGCGAAGGGAGAAAGTAACTAGTAAATACCTGCTGGATTGGTTTTCTGAACGTAGTAATGTACGGTAGTAACATACCTACTAGTTACTAGATTACTACATTACTGGATTAGTAAATACATTAGTAATGTATGTAACTACATTACTAATGTATTTACTATTTACTAGTTACTACCGTAGTAACTAGTAAATAGTAACTAGTAAATACGGTAGTAATGTAGTTACATTAGTAATGTAGTAAATACGGTGGTATGTAACTACCGTAGTAAATACATTAGTAACTAATAATGTAGTAATGTAGTACATACGGTAGTAACTACCGTATTTACTACATTACTAATGTAACTACCGTAGTAAATACGGTAGTGATGTAGTAACATACCTACTAGTTACTACATTACTACATTACTGGATTGGTTTTCTGAAGGTAGTAATGTAGTGAAATACCCTTTGATTGTGTGCTCAGGGAGTAAATACACTAAAAGAGTAGTGAAGAGTAGTGAAGAGTCCATAAGTGTATAAATACGACGTAGGCCAACCAAGGGAGACGCAAAGTGAAGTAAAAAAATCAGCGATCAAGGATGACAATTCATGAGACTGAAATTTGTTCTTGGTGGAGAAAGTAGACAAAAATATCCATTTAACATAACAAGTTAACCCGCCGCGGCACAGGAGGGGTGGGAGGAAAGAAGACGGAAATGAAGAACAGAGTGGACAACAGGGGTGGGAGGGAAGAAGAGGACGAGGGAGGAGGAGAAGGAAGGGAGAAGAACGGGGTGGAGACAGACAGATACGAACGGTTGGCGGAAATTACTTTTGAGCTTGGACGTCGAAGGAAGATGTGGACACCCCTCCTGTGCCGAAAGGAAGGGGGGAGAGGGAGAGGGGGGGGGGACGGGGGGGGAAGCTGTCCTTCGGGACATCTGTTCAAATTGGAACGATACAGAGAATATTAGCATAGCCCCTGGGCAAGGAAGACACACTAATTTTTAGATTGCTGAAAATAGCAGCATCTGCATAGTACATCACCAGGTTTACCTTTTTTTTTTTTTTTTTTTTTTTCTTCAAACAAATGCTCCAGTCTATTCGTGGGAAGCACATCACCAGGATTACCATCTATCTAATTCTGAGATCTTTCTTTTGCATCGTCGCAATCTCTTCCATCTTTGCGGCCCGGTCTCTTCATTCCCAACGAAGTATTAATTTAATTTCATTACCATGCTATACATATCCTTTACTACCTCAATTTTAAATTTTGGTTTCAACTTTCAACTTTCGACTTGTAGATGAAAATTTCTCTTTTTCTTTTTTTTTTTTTAACCCGGCTTCAGCTGGAGCGGAGCTATCTGAGGAAAAACTTCAGGTCAGGCCCACCTGGGACGCTCCAGGGGGCCGGCCACCAGATCCCAGGTCGCCGCACCTTCCTATGGGCTATAGGGTGAGAGAGAAAGAAGGGTGTATGAATATTGCAGACAGAAAGGCCCACTTCTCGTCCGCTTATCCAAGTACTCTGATTAAGAATATATAGAATGGGTTGATAAATATGGGGGCCTTTCTGTCTGCAATATATAAAGAAGGGTTGAAGGGTGTATGCATATTGCAGATAGAAAGGCCCACTTCTCGTCCACTTCTCGTTCGAAAGGTGTCCTTTCCCTCTGGCTTTCAATGATATTTATCAAGTTAATATCAACCCATTCAAATTCGAAAGGACCGAGCTATGGTGCCGCTGCAAACCTTTCGAACTGGGGTCTCTTAAGCCCACTAAAGAGCCTGATTTTAAATAGACTTGTGCACCAATGCCATAGCTTGCCTTCGTTCCCTAGGGTGTAGTAGTATTCTACCTCGGTCGGGATACCCAATCCGCTTCTTCTAGCATAAGGCCCTTGCGGAGGGAGGGTACGATACCAGGTGAGGGGCAGGGACTCAACCGCCTGCTGCAACGCCTTTTCAATGTTGTGGCAATAGGGTCGCCCCTGGTCGGGTTACCCAATCCCCCACTTCTAGCATAAGGCCCTTGCAGACTGGAGCATTTGCTTTCGGGAAAAAAAANAAAAAAAAAAAAAAAAAAAAAAAAAAAAAAAAAAAAGGCATAAGGCCCTTGCATATGGAGGGGTAGCATACCAGGTGAGGGGCAGGGACTCAACCGCCTTCTGCAATGCCTTTTCAACGTTGTGGCAATAGGGCAACTTGATTCGTATACTGCTCGGTTGTTATCCATTTGTTGGGCCCCTTATTTGCCACCCATATTGGCCATATGGTGGTGGTGGGGAAGGGGGGGGGGGTTGCTTAGAAAACTTCCCTCGAAATCGAATTCCAATTCCTTGCCACCCATATTGAGCATATCGCAAGGGTTGTTGGTCCTCTTAGCTTGTGGGATGGTGTCCGTGTGGTGAATGTTTGAATCTTCCTGTTCCTCCAGGGTGTGAAGTTGCTTATGGGCTGTTACTTAGTGTTAATGTCTATATACCGACATCATTTTAAAATTTAAAATATATTGTTTATATTTGCTTGCTAAGAAGAAGAGTCCACCATTAAACAATTTGATCGCTGACTGGAAGTGACGAGTACGAGTATGTTCTTGCCAATGCTTCCACACATCCTGAATGTAGCTCTGAAATTGCTCGCTTCTTGTTTTTTCTTTTTTTTCCTTTTCTCTTTTTTTTTTTTTTTCCGGAGAAAACGGCCCCCTGCAGTTCTAGTGGTGCTGGTTGAAACAGGCACCACTAGCAACCGGGGAGAGGCTCCCATCTATATGGCTGGAAGACGGGTCCAACGTCCCATATACAAAACGATTCAGGATGACCTCAGGGAAAGAAACTGAGAAAACGCTTGCCAGCATTTGATTACTCTGGTGTCCAGAGGATTAAACCAACAGTGCTTCGCGCAGCTATTGATGCCGAGCCGGAAATCGGACTGCGCGCCTTTTTTTTCGGAGCCTGAAGTGGGGGGAAATCGATTTGGAACATTTGTGGGCTGGCACTGGTACCGGCGTACCGCCCCTTATTCTGGACCTGCTGCCAGCAGGAGGAACGAAACGGGATGTAGCTCACTAGTTTTCACTAGTGCAGCTCACTAGTTTTCACTCGTGCAGGCGCAAGACTGCCTGATGTTGCATTGGTGACAGGACTTCAATGCCCCCCGTTCCTCACGGGGAGTCGATCAGATACTGCCGAGATTCTTTTTGTTTTTCAACGGAAATAGAAAAAACCGGCATTCTAGGCCACCTGACCACGGCCTTCAGTTTCACGAGTACATGGCAAGGATTCAGGGTGGATACATTCTCGAGAGAGTTCGTTCTTGAGTCACATGAGATACAGCTGAGGTTTTTTTTTGTTGTTGTTGTTGTTGCTAGAAGAAAAAAAGAACGGCAGAAAAGGTGGCTGCACGTCCTCCTTCCTATTCACGAGTATCTGCCCACAACTGCGGGAGAGTACATTCTCGGGGTAGTGCTTCCCTTTGGGGCACGCGAGATAGAGCCCAAATTCTTCTTTTTTTTCCTTTCTTTTGCAGCAAAAAAAAAAAAAAAAAGCGCGAAAAGATGGTGTGCAGACAGGAACTTAAACGCTCCCACAGTTGAGGGAGGATATATTCATTTTAGGAAAGTGCCTAAAACATTCATTTTGTGTCCGGCACTTGGATGCTCCCCATTTCACACGGGGAGTCAGCCGAGAAACTGCCAGGATTCTCTCTTCTGTGGAAAAAACAAGAAAAGGAAAGCAATGAAAACGTCATTGGCTTTAGGCTGAAACTGCATCCAGATACATATGTTGTTGAAGTGCTATCATGAAGCTCTGCTGGAGGATATCGGTGAGGAACCTACAGTAGGGGATTGTCTTAAGGGATCCCGGTAGGAGGGGTGTTAGTAGATAGACTCTGCTGGAGGAAATCGTTGGGGAACCTGCAGTA